CTAGTTTCTCCTTGTTTGGCTCCAATAATCATTTGTGGCCAGCAAATGTTGCTTTAAAGACAAAACAAATACAACTTGGTAATAAAATAGAGCAAGGTATATTCACCAGGTGAAACTCTACATATAAAAAATAAGTTGCTACATATATAAAATAAGTTATTTGATCGAACAAAAAGGAAGTAGTTACGTTGAATTGTAGAATTAAATTTTAACTTGTGTTACACACAAGTAGTTTTGAAATTTGCATTAAGCAATGTTATATTTCCAGTATTCAGTTAACATTTTGTAGAGTGTATTCAGAACTAGTAAACATTTCAATTTATTAATGTTAGATTTGCAGTCTGTATTCAGGTAAAGTTAACATTTCTTTCCATTATCTTTTAATTGTAGCTAAAGAGTTAGGTCTTGTTAAGAGTCAGGTCAAGTTATTCTGCTACTGGTAACATGTAACCCAGTACAACCTGTTTCATGTCCTGCTGCTTTGTAGGATACGCTTTTTTAGGCAAAGGCAAGGAGAAGCTAATTCTTAACACATCCCCTCCTTTTGGGCTCTTGGTTGAGTAAAGGTTAGAGATGGTGTCTGGATAAAAATACTTTTCTTGGGAAAACATTAAATACATCCAGCTACTGTCTTGTATTGCCTATCAAGACCCATTCCCCTGTTTATTAAATTTTACTTGTTATGAACAAAAAAACTGTATCGTAAATCTCAAAAAATTTCAGTTTTTTTAATTTTTGAGACCGATTTAGGTCTTAAAAGTTAAAAAGGGAAAAAAAATTCCCAATCACTTGTTTGTCAAGATGACCTTCTTCCCCCTCCTTCCATTCCTATTTTCCCTCCCCCCTCCCCATTTATTACGTCTGGATAAAAATTCCAAATCAAATCAGTCAAATATACATCATTAATAGATAAATTTATATGAGGAAATTAATAAACAGGATAGTAGACATTTTTATTTCTATGAGTAAGTTTATATTTTCTAATTTTTAAGGACTAAACCGGTTGATAAAATTAGAAAATAATAACTAAAAATGATTTTTTTTTTTTTTTTAGTTTTAAAATATAGTTCGTTTGTTCATAACAAGTAAAATCAGGGATGCAGATTTATAAAAGGGCTCCGGTTTTATATCTTTATTTTTACCTGGTCTCTGGTTGACTTATGATCTGCAAAAAGAAAATAACTCATATAATTTAATGAATTAGATCTATTGTTTTTAAGCCCGGAGTCCCGCAGTCCTTGGTGCCATTATACCTAAGAAGTTTTAATTTTTTCCCATTAGTAGTCTATAAGCTTTTTTATATTTTTTTATCCCTTGTATTTTTTCATTTTATCCCTAGAAGTTGTATTTTTTTAATTTTATCCCTAGTAGTAGTAGTTTTTTATTTTATATCCCTAGAAGTTGTAGTTTTTTATTTTATCCCTAGTAGTAGTATTTTTTTTATATCCCTAGAAGTTGTTGTTTTTTAAATATCTTTAAAAGTTGTAGTTTTTTGTTTTCTTTCTAGAAGTTTTAGTTTTTTATTTTATCTCTTGGTTTTTTATGTTATCCCTAATATCCCTATATTTTATTTCTAGGTATCTTATTTACATTAGTGGTTTTTTATTTTACATAGGAGTCTTCCATTATTACTTTGTTAACATATTATGAAGAACAAATCACTCCAACCAGAGATGATTGGTTTGAACTATTCAGAAGAGTGTTAGATAACTATTTGAAAAAAGAAAAAAGAACTAGCATTAGAGTTAGAGTAATAGAAATGATTACTTTTGTGTTTTCACATCACAAACACAAGTATGAAGTGAGTTTTTCGTTTGTGCATTTACAGAGGTTTAGTGGAAAATTAAGGTGTGCATACACCTTTGAATTGTGTTTTTTATTTACACTTTTTATTTACCCATTTACTCTAGCATTTAATCTTAATTTATTTTTTTTACACCACACATGTTTGTTAAAACATTTGTAACATATGTGCTTTGAATTTTTTTTTTACACATAAACTTAAATGTACAAATTTTCATATGTTGCAAGTTTTTTTGTTATCTATGTTAAAAACTTTTTTTTTTTTGTTATCTATAGTAAAAACTTTAAATTTTAAATTGGTACTACTGTATATATCATGAGTTTAACTTTTGTTATTGTTTATGTTTCAGGATGAATTGATAGAGTTGTTTTTAAAAAACTATATTTCAGCTGTAGTGTTAGAAAAAGATAATGAAGTACGCCTTGTTATATCTCAATTACTTGCAAATCTATTACAAATATGCAGTTCTGTGCAATACTCTGCTTTATTACAAGTAGTTGATGAGCTTCTTTCTTCATTAAGCAATCAGAGAGAAAATTTACAGGACATTGAGATAATTGTTGACGCTCTCATTAAAACGTACAAGGTAAGAAAATTAAAAATGCTTAAAATTAGTAAAAATCAAAAGAAAAATAAAGTGTAATAAGCATAATAAATATTTATGTATTTTAAAAATATTTGATTTCTTATTTTAATTTAATAATTAAATTATTTATGTTTTTTTACAAATTTTGATTCTTATAATTCAATAATTAAACTGTTTCATTAATTTCAGAATCAAAAAACTAATTCATTAATTTGCTGTTTACTCTAGCAGTTTTACATTTTTGTTAGATTTCTAATGAAAAAAATAGTTGAAGTAAAGAGATATATTAGACTCCTATAATAATGGAGAAAAACACCTTCGAGCATTTCTATATTGATGTATAAAAATATTATAGAGTATTCATATATTGATGTAGAAAAACACTTTACAGCATTCATATATTACCCACATTTTGATTGTTTATGTGAACTTAAGGCTCAATTGAAACTTAGTACAACAATTGAATAAATTTGCAATGCTAAAAAAAGCTTAAATTTCTTTTAAGTTTACAAGTGAGAATCCTAAATTTTTTAATTATAATTATTAATAGTATTTGTAATAACATATAAAATAGTAATAGTAATAGTATTTGAGTTGCAAATAGTATACAGGTCATATTAAAATCATAAAATGAATATAAGCAACTATCAATTGAAATGTCAAGCATACCTTTAAAATGGTTGGTTGTTAAACTGTTTATTTTTGAATCATTGAGTGCATTTGAATGGTTAGCATCACAATAAAGAAATGTTAACATTGATCACAATTTCTGCTTATTTCAAAACAAACTGTTTTCTTTTACTGCATTAAGCTAGGCAAATCAAAGACTTAGTATGGCAATTGATGATGGCCAGACCTTTCTCAGTTTTAAACTCTTAAATCCTCTTATTCTGCAATTCTATAGTTTTTTAATATTAGGGAAACTGTTAGCCTTATTACTAACATGAAATAAGACAATTACTGATATAAATAGCTTGATAAAAATATTTACCATTATTTGAAACATATACACCAAGATCTCTTTCTACATTTGATTTTTCTCATTTGTGATTTAAGTTGTTTATTGTTATGAAGTCATGTGTCATGAAATGAATAGTTTTTGCAGTAGTTGGTTCTTCCCATATGCATAACTTTACATTTAACTAGGTTGAGTTTATTTAGCCAAACTTTTGTCCATTCAGTGATTTTAGTCAAGCCAGTTTGAATGTCATTAGTATAATCAAAAATCCTGTTATCTCATTCATTAATTTAAAACCATCAGTATATAGCTTACAAACACATTTTAAATTTTCAGACAAGTCATTAATGTAAATTATAAAAAGTCCAAAACAGAGCTTTGTGAAACACCACTTGTAATAAAAGCCAAGTCCCAGTACTACTCTCTGTTTTCTATTAGTGAGAAAGTCTATGATCCATTCAAGAAGGATTTCAACAATACCAATATATGGGTGAGACATTCTTTTAAATGCTTTCAAAAAGTCCAAATATGTCACATCTACTGCATTTTGTTAACTAAGCATTTTGTTACATAGTTGTTGGATTTTGGATGGGTGATATTTGCATTATGCCATAGATGAGGAATTAATGTTTCTGATTAATTCCTCATATATGAAACTTGGTATACACATTTGCATTAAAAGAGTTAAATTTTCTGATTAATTCTTCTAAAGCAAATGTATAAGTCAAGTTTCAGTGATAAATAAAATATGAGGCTTGAGTGTTGATGCTAAAACTGATAACTCATTTATTTTATCAAATGTTTTTTGATCTATATGACACTTATTGTTTTTATCACCTTTTGATAATGTATATTTGTGAATATATTATATTATATTCGTGAATTTATAATATATTTTTTGATCTTATTAATAATCTACCACATGTATAATTGAGGTGGGTGGTACTCAATTCATCCAGGTTATCCATTTCTGATTCCTTAATAGAATTTTTTTCCATTTTGCTCAACTCAGCAAAGCCTACCTTAAAAACCATTACTACATTTAAAGTTTTCCCATTTTTCTTATTTTTATTTTATCCTAATTTTCTCCTCATTTGCAAATTCAAAAGCTTTATTTAATGTCTTTGTTCAAATTTTGTTATACTATTCAAAACCTTTTAAATTTTTTTGTATTTAAAAGAATACACTTTTTTTTTTGTATTTAAAAGAACACACTTTTGGGTTTCTTGATCAAGTTGTCAGATCAAGTCAAGTCAGATCTTTTGATGGCAAAGATGGCATCATATTGACTTTTTTTAAATCTTGTAATATGCTTAGTTCTTATCAACACCTAAAGTTTTAGACATTGCTTCGATTTTTTTATCTTTCCTTTTTTCTAGATCAATTTTTTTGGTCTCTCTGAAGTTTGGTCTCTCAATTTTTTTTATATAAGTTTATTTATATCTTATTATACCCTTAAGACACAAGGGCTAAAAGTTTCAGTTTTTTTATTTTTTATTGTTTTAACTTTTATATTTTATTAAATTAACTTTTTTTTTTTTTAAATTACATATAAATTCTTTTTTTTTATTTTCATCTTTTAACACATTTTTATTTAAATAGCGAAGTTGAGCACCTAGATAAATACATTGATCTCTCTTGTTTTGTATGTAAATTTTAAATTATTGTAGTTATTAAATTATTTTAATATTAAATGAAATGAAATGTTTATAAAACCCTTTTTTTTCAGAATAAGTTGTTTTGCCCACAAAGCATGTTTGTTGTAAATATTTTTACCTTGTTGGTAAAACATGTTTCCCGTTATTACTTAATCAATTTACCTCCTTTAATTGGTGGAAATATTCGTTGTAAAATATTTGCTGCTATATTGTCAATGAGAGCTAATAGTAATCACTTTGTTGGTGTTGCTGATGGAGACACTATTGCAAAATATTCAGCCCATACTATTTTTAAATCAGTAAATAAAGAAGTTGCAGGATGTGGTGAAATATGGACAATCTGTTGCGATTTCCAAATTGCTTTTGATGCCATACTTACTTGCTTGAAAAATGAATTGGATTGGTCTGTTTTAGAATTTGTTCTTAAAAACTTACCACATCAATTAAAAAATAAAAGCCTTTTTATATACTGTCAGTGCAATATGAATAAACTTTGTGCTGCATTGTCTAACTTAATCAATGATAAAATGTATTTGAATAAAGTTCAAAATTGCCCTGCTACATTTGGTATTTCAGAACTTCGAAATTTAATCTTTCCTATTCTTTCTATTGTTGCTACTTATCATAGCTATCTTTCAAAAGAACAACAGTTTGAATTATTAAAATGTTTAGAATTTGGATTGAACACTGTTTGTGCAAAAACATGTGTTTCCTGTTTGACAATATGTACTCTAGAGATGCAATCTGTTATGATAAGAGTGTTACCATCAATTCTTGTCAAGTTATCACAAATATCTGCTACAGTGCCGATGGCAGTACCTGTTCTTCAGTTCCTTTCAAGTAACTCTTTTTTTTTATATAAATTTAAACTTTTTTTTACGGTTTATCTCCCCAAGGCTCATTGGTGTATGGACACTCCATGCATGCTCTATTTAACTCAGTTGATGTATGTACCATGCAAAGAATTGTATCTACAGTGCAGTGCAAATTTATAACCGCACCAAAAATTCAAGATCTCACAAATATTTAAATAATTAAAGCTTAATATCGAACTTAGTTGATATTCCATAAATACTTACTTTATTGATATTCCATTTGTAATAGAGTCTGGTTTCATTTTGTAAATTGGTTTAAAAATTTTAGAAAAATGATGGCGTAAAATTATAACCTTATTTCAAATTTACTCTATAAAATTCCATAATGTTTTGTACTGTAATTTGAGTTTATTATTAAACCTTTGTTTTATTGCTGCCATTTTGAATAACTTCAAATATTCGATTTGGCATACTTTTCAAATGTTTTCTAATATCTGCAAGAGATATGTTCTTCCAAATGTGAACAGTTGCCTTTTTTAATTTATCAACATGCAAATATTGTTTTCCTTCTGCATAAACACATCTTGCTAAGATGCCTCATATGTTTTAAATGGGAATTAAATCAGGTAAGAGCGTTTGCTATTCTAATAATTGAATTTTCTTGCTGGTAAATCATGAGATATTTGACTTTGCCCTATGAATTGGAGCATTTCTATGCTGGAAAATAAAATTGGTGTTACCAAATTTTTGCAAAGTATCATTCAAAAAACCATTCAACAAATTTCTATATCCTTCAGCATTTAATTTAGTAGTAATAAAGGCAATCAAAAATTTTCAAAAGTAAGTAAATGCACCCCAAATCACTTCAAATCCAAAAACTTCACCTCCCATTGCCCTTCTTTTTGAAAATATTTTCTCTTTTTAATGTCATATCAGTAGTAATTGAAGCCATCTAGACCATCAAAATGTGCGTTTTTTTGCATATCTAAGAAAGCCTGACTTGTTAGTTACACAATTCACTGTCCATCTTGGGCATTTCAACCCCAAATCAACACCTATCTTGCGGAGATTGTACAGTTACTAGCAGCATGTGCAATTCGTCGCTGTTGCAGGCTATAAGTATAGGTTTTCTACCACTTCGATGCTTCATGCAATAATTTGTTGGATCATTTACAAAACTATTGATCAAACGTGGTGAGCATCTCAGTTTGCAAGCAATTGCCCTGTTTGATAAACGCAATGACCAGTAGGCTTCGATCTTACCTTTTACTTCATCAGAGAGTGTAGTTCCTCTTGGCATTCGTTAGAGTGTATTTTATAATATGAAAATGTAATAAATTTAAGTTGAAAGTGAAGTTTACTACTATTTTTTTATGGCTTTTAATGCAATTTAAATAACGAGGTTATAATTGTGCACCACGGTTTTAAACGGTTTTATTATTTGAGTTAATAAAAGTATAAATAGACTCATGTAAATTATTTTGTTTATTTCAAAAAATAATCTACAAATAGATTTTGATCAACAAACTCTGAAAGATAGTTTTAAGGTTTCTATACAGGTGAGGTTATAATTCTGCACCCCACTGTATATTAGCCCTCAGAATTCGGAAAATTAAGGTAGGCAATAATTTGCCTGAGGTCAGCATCAGGTCTGCAAAAAAAAATTGATACAAAGATTTTACCATAAAATATAGAAATAAGGTTGGTAATTTTTTGCCAACATCAAACACTTTTAGGTTGGCATTGCCAAATGCTGACGCTAATTCCAAGGGCTGACATGTCGTCTAAAAGTCATAGCAATTAAAATAATGCAGAAGTGCATTAAGTTTTATTGTTTTTTAAAAAACCCCAATAATAATGACAAGAAAGTTTTTTAACTAATAGTGTTTTTGTTTTTTAAAAACATTTTTTAAAACATGTGAGGAGTGTTGCTGCATCAACTATCCTATAGCCTGACTTGCAACGGAGTGCTGCTACATCGACTATCTTATAGTCTGACTGACACAATATATATATATATATATATATATATATATATATATATATATATATATATATATATATATATATATATATATATATATATATATATATATATATATATATATATATATATATATATATATATTCAACCTTCAGAATCAGGAAAAATGAGGTAAATGAGAGGCAATAATTTTATAATCTCAATCTTTTAGAGGTTTGGCATCAGGTCAGCAAAATTTATTTGATATAAAGGTTGGCAGTTAGGTCGGCAATCCCGAGTGCTGACCCTAATTCTGAGGGTTGTGTATATATATATATTATATTTTTTATATACTTTTGCACACAGATTTTTTGAGGGGATATTAAAAATTTAAATTTTTTTCCTTGATACTTAATAATATTATTATTTGAACGCTGTGTACAACTCATTTTCAACATTTTTTGACTCATCTCTCTTTTCCTTTTGCACACAGATATATATATATATATATATATATATATATATATATATATATATATATATATATATATATATATATATATATATATATATATATATTATATATATCTGTGTGCAAAATATACACATATATATATATATATATATATATATATATATATATATATATATATATATATATATATATATATATATATGTATATATATATATATGTATATATATATATATGTATATATATATATATGTATATATATATATATATATATATATATATATATATATATATATATATATATATATATATATATATATATATATATATATATATATATATATATCACTAGATATACTCAATGGCGACAAAACGTGCTAAAAAAACGCGCTATAAGGCGACAGTTGTGTTAAGGCAACTATTTGTGGTCACCTTAACGTTTCTGATTCAAATTTAATGGCTTTTTGTTTGCGCATTATAAATTAAACTTTACCTAGCTTTAGGTATCTATTTAAATAATATAAAAAATAAATTTTGGATCAAACTAAAATTTTTTTGGGGAGATATGGAAAAGGCAGTTTTGAGAGTGTTTATTGTATAAAACGGCAAATTTGCCTACAAATGCCATATGGTGACAGTTTGTATATTTGAAAGATTTTAAGTGTTTTTATATGTATATATATAATTATTTTTATGATTAAAACATAATTTACGAGTTAGTCGACTATATTTTACTATTTTCTAAACTTTTAGCACGAAGTGTGCGAATAAAATGCGCGAATAAAAAATATAGTTTTTTTTTTCACCAAAACTCTTATTTTTTTACTTTAGCGAAACACAAAACTTAGTTTTTTACTATTTTATATAAGAACCAAGTCTTATTAACTTAAATTTATTAATTTCGCTAACATCTGTTAAGGCTTTCCTTCATAGTTGATAAGTTTTCACAATGATGTTTTACTCTAAGGTGACGCAACTGAGTAAAATCAACAAAAGAATAAACTTTAAGGTAACATTTTTTTTTGTATATCACTGTGGGGAAGTGCAATTATTTTAATTTCAATAGAATATGCTCAAAGGAGTAATTATAAAATGAGTGAAGTCGTTATAGCGCAAAAAAAAAATTTTTTTTGTGGTAAAAACTGCAATGTCGCCTTATAGTAGAATTTTTGCGCATGTCACCGTAAAGTAGATCTAGGAGTATATATATATATATATATATATATATATATATATATATATATATATATATATATATATATATATTCATATATATGTATATATATATATTAGGGTGTCCCAAAATGACATGAATTTTTTTAGTTTTTAACTATTTTTAGATTTTTAATCAGTTTCATACGTATTTTTATCTACTAAAAACAAAACAAAAAAAAAAAAAATTAAAAAATTTTCATATTTGATCCCCCCATCCCCTGCCGCTCTTTTTTTAAGTGTGTTTTTTTTTTCTAAAAAAATGACACTAAGGACTAAAATTATTTTTGATAATCAACTATGTTTGCATTTTTTATAATTTTCTTGTGTAATTTTGTTTAATAAAACTAGGGATGGCATAAACCCCGGAAATTTTCAATCCTGGGGATTTTAGGATTGAGAAAGTTGTCCCTTGGAAATCCCGTAATTGAATAGAAAAAAAAATCAACTGAATACTTTTTAAGTACTCATCAAACACTTAATATGATTATTTTAGTGATAATATAACTAATATATTACAAACATGTTTTAAGTTAATTTTGTTATATTAAAACTTGTCTAAAACTTTAAAAAATTAATGAACCTAAGTACTTTAAATTATAAAGCAATACCTTAAAATTGTAACAAAGTATAAGTAAAAATAATAATTAGAAAAATATATAAATATGCATGGCTTCATTAATTAAACAGACCCTAAGAAAATTTTGTAAATTTTGTTTTTTGTTAACTTTATTAACTAAACTGACTTTAAAAAAACTTTCGTAAATCACGCACATATTTGAAATTATTAGAAAAAAACTTTAATAAAAGGTGTACCTTCTATTAAAAACCTTTATTAAAAAAACTTGCTCTTTCCACCAGCAAGCGCTAAATTTTTTTTTTTTTTTTTTTTTTAATATACTAGTTTTAATATTACACTATATATATATATATATATATATATATATATATATATATATATATATATATATATATATATATATATATATATATATATATATATACATATATATATATATATATATATATATAATATATATATATATATATATATATATATATATATATATATATATATATATATATATATATATATATATATATATGTATATATATATATATATATATATATGTATATATAGAGGCCTCAGCGGGAAGTGAGAGCTTTATTAATTAATTTTTTTTAAATAATATTGCGGTTTTTTTATCGTTGTAACTAAAAAAACTGCAATATTATTTAAAAAAAATTAATTGCATAATATACTGCAATCGTTTTTAAAAAGCACGGTTGTTTAAAAAAAAAAGTTAAAAATAAAAAAGAGCGCCGATTTAATGAGGAGCAGCTCGCACAGCTTCCCCAAGTTTGTTTTAGGAGAG